AGGTTCTATGTGTCACCTGTACCATGCTCGCACAGGTTACCATTTGTCCTTCCTGAGTCCATGTTCTATGTGCACCTGTGCCATGCTCGCATAGGTTACCATTTGTCCTCTCCTGAGTGCAGGTTCTATGTGCACCTGTACCATGCTCCCATAGGTTACAATTTGTCCTCTCATGAGTCCAGGTTCTATGTGCACCTGTACCATGCTCGCATAGGTTACCATTTGTCCTCTACTGAGTCCAGGTTCTATGTGCACCTGTACCATGCTCGCATAGGTTACCATTTGTCCTCTCCTGATTCCAGGTTCTATGTGCACCTGTACCATGCTCGCATAGGTTTCCATTTGTCCTCGTGCGGTTATAAGTCGTCTGCGTGGAGTACACACATATTTTTCTCAACATGTCACATGATACACTCGCGTCTGCGGATTGTCAGCCGATGCGTTACCAATTATATCTCTTAGTTTGATGTGTCACTATTTATATCTCTTTGTTTAATGTGTTACCAATTACATCTCTTTGTTTGATGTGTTACCAATCATATCTCTTTGTTTGTTGTGCTACCTATTATATCTCTTTGTTTGATGTGTTACCAATTGTATCTCTTCGTTCGCTCTGTTACCAATCACACCCCATCGTTCTGTCCAGTCCTGTTGGAGAGTCAGGCTGCACCCGAATCCAACGCAAAGGGACATGTGGAACATAAGGACAACGTCAAAGCAGTGAATTTCATAAAGGATTGGATGTACTGCAGAAGCCCGGCTACGAGTGCGTTAGCGCTGATGTGCATCCTGTCACAGCTGCGGTGAGTTAGTTTGTGCGTAGTCTTAATGAGATGAGATGAGATGAGATGTGATGAGTGTGTGTTTGATGAGATGAGATGAGATGAGATGAGATGTGATGAGTGTGTGTGTGATGAGATGAGATGATATGAGATGTGATGAGTGTGTGTGTGATGAGATGTGATGAGATGAGATGTGATGAGTGTGTGTGATGAGATGAGATGTGATGAGTGTGTGTGTGATGTGATGTGATGAGATGAGATGAGATGAGATGAGATGAGATGAGAGTGTGTGTGTATATTGGGAGAGCAATGTGCTTTGCGACGGGTGAGATGGATGTGTGTATGCTATGAGGTAGCGACTGCTTGATCTGGTTCCGATCAGAGATACGATTGTGCTTGTGTGATGCGAGTGTGAAGCTATGATTGACCTCTGGTCATCTTCCTTTAAAGATAGTATGTATTTAGTAACGTCTGTGGTGCAGCAATCAATTATGTTCCACCTTCCCCCAAAGACAACTAACTATATGTTAAAGTTGACGGTAACCGTGCTTGTTCCTTATGCCTACCTACTCATTATGCCTACCTACTCACTATGCCTACCTTCTCACTATGCCTACCTTCTCACTATGCCTATCTTCTCACTATGCCTACCTACTGATTATGCCTACCTTCTCACTATGTCTACCTCCTCACTACAGCGGCGGCCTACCCGAACAAACCTTTCGGGAACTAAAAACCATCTATGTACACACATACGGCTTCGAGCATGTACTAACATTCCGTAAGCTGGAGACCCTCGGCATTTTCAACCGGATGAACGACAGAGACGCCAAGGAGTGCATATACAGTGGATCACTGCTTGTACGTGCAGTGGACAATGCTATCATGGGCCTACCTGTGGGAGAAGGCATTGGTGGGTGACTGTGTTGTCATTTGTGCGTCTGTTGTGTGGGTGTCATCAATACATATGTGTACATAAGTGTATGTTGCTATAGCACACCTTCGTGAGAGTGGATAGATAGTTTAGGCACAGTGGATCACTATTTGTGCGTGCTGTGGACAATGTCATCATGGGCCTACCTGTGGGAGAAGGCATTGGTGGGTGACTGTGTAGTCATTTGTGCGTCTGTTAATTGGGTGTATCGGTTTGTGTATCAATACACATGCGTCTGTTATTCGGGTGCAGGTTGCTATAGCACATGGCCAGGGTACACTTACCTGCCAGAGGACTCTACGTGTGTATCTGTGTGTTGGTCGCCATTCGCCTACGCATACCGTTGGCTACACCGCCGAACTACATACCGACGACAGTTACACCTCCTCGCACGACCAACATGTCATACGAATTGTCGTACGCCCAAGACCGAAATGGCACTCTCGGGACTTCTTTTGATATGTTCACCTGTGCGTATGTGGGGAATTCTTTGTATTCATTACCTGTACCGGCTCCCTTTTATCCGCTCCCGCAGTAGTTAGATACAAGTGACTAATTCCGCATGTCATTTCACAACTATACAAGCATCCTATGTCCTATTTGAAACAGTTTCTGTACAATCCCGTGTATTCACTCTTTATCTGCCTCTACCAACACTCTTGTATCCGCTCCCGCAGATCTCCACATGAGTGATGCGCTCGTAGATCTGTACAATCCCTTGTATTCGCTCTTTATCTGCCTGTACCAACACTCTTTTATCTGCTCCCGCAGGTCTTCACATGAGTGATCGCTCGTAGATATGTACAACCCCTTGTATTCACTCTTTATCTGCCTGTACCAACACTCTTTCATCTGCTCCCGCAGATCTCCACATGAGTGATCGCTCGTAGATCTGTGCAATCCCTTGTATTCACTCTTTATCTGCCTGTACCAACACTCTTTTATCTGCTCCCGCAGATCTCCACATGAGTGATCGCTCGTAGATCTGTGCAATCCCTTGTATTCACTCTTTATCTGCCTGTACCTACACTCTTTTATCTGCTCCCGCAGATCTCCACATGAGTGATCGCTCGTAGATCTGTACAATTCCTTGTATTCACTCTTTATCTGCCTGTACCAGCACTCTTTTATCTGCTCCCGCAGATCTCCACTTTAGTGATCGCTCGTAGATCTGTGCAATCCCTTATATTCACTCTTCATCTGCCTGTACCAACACTCTTTGTCTACCCCCGCAGTAGTTAGATACAAGTGACTAATTCCGCATGTCATTTCACAAATATATAAGCATCCTATGTCCTATTTGAAACAGTATCCATACAATCCCTTGCATTCACTCTTTGTCTGCCCCACCAACACTCCTTGTCCATCCCCGCAGATCTCCACACCAGCGATCGCACCTACGATCGGTCGTTCGAGGCGGAGCATTCGCTCAAGGATTTCAGTAGTCGTTATGCACAGTACAACAGTGAAGCCAATGGAGACCTTAAGAGAAGCACCTCAACCTCTTCAGATGAGGGCCAGGACACTGGGGGCAATGTGCAGCGACAGGATGGTATGTATGGGTGACTGGGGAGTGATAGTATGGGTGTAGGTATATGGGAGGCGTAGTGTGTGTGTGTGTGTGTGTGTGTCGAGTTATACGATACAAGCTACACGTTGTGTGTGTTCGTGTTGGTATGGGGATAACGCGCACGAACTCAAGGAGCGGTGTGTGTTGTAGTAGTAGTTGTTATTGTTGTTGTTGTTGTTGTTGTTGTTGTTGTTGTCGCCAGGGCAGAAGCATACATTGACATAAATAACCGGAAGTGAGATTCTACCTCACATACATACATACATACATACATACTTACATACATACATACATACAAACATACATACATACATACATACATTCATACATTCATACATTCATACATTCATACATTCATACATTCATACGTTCATACATTTATACATATATGTATCACCCAATTATTTACTTGCCCTCAATGGTGCAAATCAGAGTGCTGATGAAGAACAACAACAATATTCACTTTTTCGCAAGCACCCAGTTCTTGCAACCGGCCAAAGTGTTAATAGGCAATCTGTTAAGCAAATCACTGGACAACTTCAGTGATCCTTATAGTCATGGTAAAATTTCTGTTTACACTTGCAAACGGTACGTCTGGTATCGATCCCTAGTTATAAACAGACATGCTCTATCGCGTGTTGGCAATGGCGCAGATGAGTTGTATTGGAATTAGTGGAATCCCGTCTGATTTAGTTTTTATCCGAATCGATGGCCTAATTATAGGCCTATACTGGCACAACCATACACCTTACACCACCCCTACTTACAACCAACTATATCCCCTCTACACAGTACAGCATTTGGTCACTAACTACTTGTACTAATCGATGGCCTAATTATAGGCCTGTACTGGCACATCCATACACCTAACACCACTCCCACTTGCAACCAACTATATCTCCTCAACAAAGTACAGCACTTGGTCACTAACTACTTGTGCTTCCTCGTGTTCTCTTATTACGCAGCTATTGTGGTGGTCGTCCTGGGTGGTATTACGAGTGACGAGCTACAGAATATACGGACTCGTGCGCTCATGCACAGTATGTAGAAAGTTACTTGTCAAACCGGGTAGATACGTATATATGTACACTTCGGTACAGATAACAGTTT